TAATAAACAACTTAAATACATCATGCAAACAATAGTTTTTCTTGACATGCTTTTCCACCCCAAAACATAAGAACCGAAAATAGGGGAGTGCGTGAATACTCACGATGTTTCGTGTAGGCACAAGCGGTACTTCAGGATGCACCAACGTCTTACTACCGGGATCCTACGACATCAAACACACCCACACACTAGTGAGTTTCCATGTCGAAATCTAATGCTAATATACTAAACTCTACATATAAGGAAATGCCAATTTAAGTTTTAGTATTGGATTTTATATCAATTGGTTACACTTTTGCTGAAATATTGAAATTTTACAAGTCGTGCGATTAGTTACAACCTTGGAAGGTTAATTTTCCAAAATTTAAGTCTCTATAACAACATAATTTCACAAAAAATAGCATTCGAGGGATAAAAATTCTCAAACTTTTTATTTAACTGTTATTACACAATACTAAGTTGGGAAAAATATAAAAATGGATTTCCAAGCTGTTTAATTATATTTTATGATTTATGGGCATTTATTCCAATAAAAATTGAAATAAATAGAAAACAGTTTCCAAAATTACCCAAACTTTTTATTTAATTGTTATTATACATAACTAGGCTGGGAAAAATATAAAAGATATTTTTTAGTGGGTATTTCTATTTTTCCTTGTTTTATTCCTTTAAATAGTCATTAATTAAAGAAATAATATTAAACAGTTAAAATAAATCACCATCAATTTTTGTAACATCATTTACAGTATCAATACCCTGGGAAAAATATCAAAAGTGGTTTTCATAATGTGTAAACTGGTTTTGGGTATTTATGTGTATTTAAGTGTATTTTAGTGCAATTAACTTTAGAAAATAAGAGAAAAATAGTTTACAGTAGAGAAAAATCCTCAAAATTTTTATGTAACCTCCTACTGTATAATGTGATATCCTGGTAAATTTTCATGAATTTTGTATAATCAGAACTTTTTTCCCATTTTTAGACCATTATAATTACCAAAAATTGGGAAAAATAGCTAGACATGATGAAAAATCTTGAAATTATTTTTGGAGTCACCCATCACAGGTAAGGTATGCGAAAATTGTTAGATACAATTTTCACATCCTCTAAAGTGATTTTGTAATTTATCATGCCCTAAACAAAATAAAATTAGAAATCATATGAAACAGTAACAAAAATTGCTTAAATTTGGTGAATGGTCATTATTCCTCATAGGGATCATCCATCAATTTATTTAGGATTTATTGACCTCTGGAAGTATTTTATATGATTTATGCCCTTGGTTTTAGCAATAATTCTAATAGATCAAAGAAATAAGAAAAGCTCTTGAAATTTTCCAGATTATCTCATGCATGCAAGGGCTTTCAAAAGGAAAGTTCTTAAAAATGTATTCAGAAGAGAAATGAGGGTAATGATTCCAAACAATTTAAGAAAAGTTGCATGCAATAATCCATGAAGTGTAGATGTGGCTGAAGTTCATGAATTTGTGTAGCCCATTCAGTGAGGTTTTAAGCCACGAAATTTCAACCATCATTCACTAGATATGTTAAGTTTCTAAGGTATTTTTCCTCAGATTTATGGTTGGGTTTAAGGCCATTGTTTAAGCAAGATAAAAATAGTGATCAAGATAAAAATAGTGATTACAGATTCACAAAAAGAACTTTGAACCAAGGTTGTCAAGATCGTGATCCTACCTAGGATCGTTTTTGGGTTTGCAAGATCGGGATCGAGATCCTAAGATCCCACAAATAGAATATAATTTTAATTTATAATATTTAATCATGAAAAATATTTCAAACATTTAATTTTTCGTTCAAAAGTTATAAAAACTTCAAAATATTAGTTATAAGTCACAATAATAAATGATAAATGGTAGATTAGTAAAGGGTAAAAGACATAAAGTGGTAAAAAAATTTCCTTTTGAAAAAAAAATATAATAAAATAAAAACAAAATCAAAGGAAGGTAGGATCGGATCGGATCTCGATCCTACGATCCTACCTACGATCTTACGATCCTACCTGCGATCCTACCCCAAATAGGATCCTTTTACGATCAGGATCGTTTTTTATACCTAGGATCGTAGGATCGTACGATCCTACGATCAGGATCGCGATTTTGACTACCATGCTTTGAACGTTTAAAATTCTTTAATTACAATTTTTATATTATCTATGTTATTTTACAAGGCGTTGCATCCCTTTTGTAAAGAAGTAAAGCAATGTTTATATATACTGATTTCTTATTTCATAAAAAATGAAATATTAATATAGAAGATCTTTGTTACTCATCATTATTTACAATCCAATTAGTTAAAAATTACAAACCCAACATTTGCTAATTGTTATAGTTACATTTTATATATTATAAAACTTTTATATATAACTTCCAAGGGCTAGTAGTCTATATGAAAATATAAATTACAATTGTTATATAAAAAAATAGAGTCTATAGTCATATACAAAAATGATAAATATATTTAAGTACTTACTGTGACAACCCAATATTTCAACTCTTTGTAATGACCTAAAAAATCAAGTATTGTAACCACTTTTGTGTTAAAGAAATTAACTTTGATAATAAAATGTCCAAAAAGTTTCTATTTAACTACCTACTATGTTTAATATCATTAAACCGTGATCGTACGTAAAAAGAATGCCCAACTACGACTTCGTATACTGAAGTTAAGATTTTTCCAAGTTCAGCTTAGCAACAGACAGCTAAAAACTCGAATCGAAGATCGAACGACTTTTGGCTGGAATGACCTAAACGAGAATCGAAGGTCTCGACAATGGTATTTCAGCGGTAAAAAGTCTGGCAAAAACCGACATCAGATAAAGAAGTTATGAATTTTTAAAGAAATTCCTTAATCACGTCATTTTAATAATAAATAATAAAAATAATTTCGGAATTTGCCGACGGAGTCTAAACGAAAGTTGAGAGCGTAGTCTCACCTACGCGTGGATATAAAGACCATCGAAAACGGAGATCGTATGAAGAAGATATGATTTTTTTGAATTTTATTAAATAGTTTATATATAATTTAAATAAAAAATCTGGTAATATCCGAAGGAGGAGTCAGCATCCTCATCCGAGTTACGCGTCGCGTAACCCCGTACGCCCCGCGTACGCGAAGGCCAAGGCCTTGGTCCGTCCACGTCGCCCCTATGCGAGCCTACTGATCCGTCCCATCTGAAGTCCGAGGCAGTCGAGGACTCGGTCATGCATGACGTACGCGTACGCCCCGCATACGAGCGTACGCCCCGCATACCGAGGCGGTTCCAGCCCCTATAAAAGGGATGCGAGGGTTCCCGGGAAAATTGTTCATTCTCTCTCACTTTTCTTGTGTTTTGCCTCGTTTTCCGTGCCCGCACTACCCCGAAGCCTTGATCATTTTACTCAAGTCCCGAAGGTCGATTTTACTCCCGAGATTCCCGAGGATCCCGAGAAAAATCCGTTTCCCGAGACGAAACTCTGCCCGGTTTTCCATCTCGCTATCGTCAAACTTTCATGTGAGTTCATACCCCTAATCAATGTTTTAAGTGATTATAAATGCTTTAATGGGGGGGGGGGATACAAGTAGAAACAAACATGTTATTAAATCATTGATATGTATTTTATAACTGTGTTTGTCATTTAACAGATTTCACATACTACAAAATGTGATGCATGAAATGGTTTTAAATCTTAAAAACACGTTGTTATCAAAAGTTTTACCTTCGAAATGTATATTAAAATGACCTCAGGTTATTGTTAATCATTGTTCAAAACCCATAAGATGTCTTACAAAAACCATTTTTACATTCTTGAACTAAACTATGCATATACACTTATATTCTTATATATGTATTGATGTTATAGTTTGCATCTTTCATTTAAGTTTTCCCACACCCTTGAGTAGTAAGAGTGTGTAAACCTACATGATCAACTAGTTAGATTACAGTAAATTATCATAGGGATAATTTGAAGATAACAAAACATTATTCCAATTACAAGGAATCACACAAGGGTCAGTTCATTCATGAGTCTTTACTAGTACCTTACCCGATACTTCAGTACCTTTACATATGCTTACATGATACATGAACACATTACATGAGTACCTTTACGTGGATACCTTTACCTATGTATACTTATTTGAATATTTGTATCACGAATTGAAAGGATAATTTAATTGTACCTTCTGTGTAAATTATACTGCCTATCCCTAGTACCTTGGGATATCTAGAATAGGACCCTATCCCCAGTACCTCGGGATATATGGACGAGACTAACCATTCCGGAACCCATCTGTTAGCAACAGTGGGTGATGAACATCTACGGATGCCTACGGTTATTACTTATACTAGGAGTACCTTTACATGGACTAACCCTTCCGGCCCCTGTTGTTGCTACAGAGGACAATTGGACAATCTTCGGATGTTCATTAGGTTATATAGGTCGTGTTAACCCTAGTACCTTGGGATAACAGTTACATATGTTGTGTTAGTCCTAGTACCCAGTGACAACACTTACAGTAGTACATTTTCTTGTTTAATTTATTTTGTGATACTTTCACATAAACGATGAGTTAGACTAAGTACCTTAGTACTAAACAATTAAAGGAAAACTATCATTTTACAAACAGAACATTCGGGTCTTGGTAGAAGACTACATCTCAAACTGATAGGAAATAAGGGATTTTCTAGGGTTTTTCATACTTACATCAACATTTTCAATTAACGATCCACAAGGCCTTCATAACAGCTTTTCATAAACAAGGCAATGACACTTATATACTTATGAATTCACCAGCTTTAAAGCTGATAATCGCTTTCAAAATAACTTGTATTCTCAGGTCATCAGTAGACAGGTACGGAGGCTAGGTTTTGAGAAGACGGAGCAGACAAATCTCGTCTTTTATTTTGATTGTATATTTTTGGTGTCTTACTACAATGAAAGAACACACATGTATTAAAACTTTACTTATAATGCAATGGATGATGTTGTTGCTTGTTTATTATATTACACTGTTGAGATACTGTACATGATATCCTCCACCCCTGAACGTTTCCTCCATTCGTGGTTTTGGGGTGTGACACTTACTCTACTCAAGAATCCGTTGTGTTCAACCATCACAAAATCCATTATCCATTTCATTACATAATAGCCGCATTCCCAATCGCCCGGTTGTTGGTTGCACTAAATTGTAATCACAAATATACACTAATCAAACAAGTGAAATACAAAATCTATATTTTTGGGTATAGTGACATGAATTACCTCGACGAGCATCCAACTGATTGGATTTGATGTGTATTTCCCATACCTTGCAAAAGCCCTGAAAAATAAAAATTATTATTGTGATAAAAATAATAGAAAAGAATGTCACGTTTATGATATTTCTTACGTGTCAACATGTTTCTTCAGTAGGTAATAGGTATCCACAGGCTTTTGTACATGACTCCTAATTGAATCCAATATGTACCCGGTGCCATTATGAGGGCAAAATCACGAACAAGACCCAATGCTCACTTGTAATGTTTGAAGTATTAGTACAAACAATAAATATAGAGAAAGTTTAACAATGATTATATATATATATATATATATATATATATCAACATAAAGTACCTTTGCAGATATGGAGCAATGAGAAATTGTTTTCCTTGATGAATCCGCATCACATCAACAATGTAATTTATGACAGCTTCCGGGTTTTCTTGGCAACTTTCCCCAAGAATATTATGTGGGTTTAGGAAAGAACATTTGTTCTTCACACGTGCAATGGAATGTAGATTCCTAAAAATAAGACAAAATGTGTTACAAGCATATAATATCTATAGACAACCTAGAAACAAAAGATTGGAACAACTAACAATAATAAAGTTAAGTGTACTTACATCTCCCAAACAGTTAGAATGGTAACATCAAGTGTTCTTTTGTTCAACAATTGAAGAATTTCATCATGTGCTACCCAAAACTCAAACTTGTGAGTTTCTAGAATGTCATCATCGGCTACAACATGAATTAGTGGGTTGTTCTTCAATCGCTAACGTAGTAATTCAATTGGCTTCGATTTGTTCATTGGAGTGAGTGTGTTCTTTCTTATAGAACCCCCTACACTGGTTGGTGGCAAACTTGGAGTCAAATTTTGTTGCTTTCTTCCTTGAATCTATATCCACAAACCATTTTCATTAAACACATTGGAAATAAATTATGCATATACATAGCAACTAAAAAATCAAGGATAAAAAATATGTACCTGAGTCAGAATAATAGCATTTCGTGGCCATTGAATTATTTGGCCAACTGCATTTTGAAGATTATTGACTTCACCGGTCACTACAGGAATAGGAAGACTCTGAAAGTCTTTGTTGATTTGGTATATTAACACTTTCATGTGATTTTCACGCAAAGGGAGTGAGTGTATTAACCCATCCCCATACGGAAAGACCAAGCCAGTAGCACAATTCTGATCCAGTGCTCCATATGGTAACACCAATTTACACTGAGTGGGGTTCTGCAAGCAGGTTTCGTATATAAATAACTCAAATTTTAAATAATTAATTCAAAATTAAAATACATTATCAAGATTTAAGCTCATGCAAAGAGGTATACACAGTTACCGTTATAACAGCCAAGGTTAGCATCGAGATAGAACTACTATTATGAACTCTCAGGCTCACACTGTCCATGACTTGCTTCCTAGAGTCATGTATCACTGCCTTTAACTCTGCCACTTGTTTTGTAACTTCATCCAACTTGGCGCGCAACTCACCCATAGATTCTTTGCCATGCATTTTCCTCTTCTTTTTATCTATCCCGTGCATGGCTTTTCTCAAGCCAACAATGTGACCAACTGCCCTAGTCCGATCTGGATGCTCTCTTCCTAACACTGCTGTCAACGAATCTTCTCCAGGTTCAGGGACCCAATCTCCTCGGGATATCTGACTTTCGACCTTTGCCTATTAATATAGGCAATGCGATTATTAGAATAAAATCCAGCATCAACATTTGAATGGAACAAAGATATCTAGGAATTACCAGTACAAACCATTGATGTATGCTTAAGTTGTTAGTTGAGAGATAGATAATTCCCATTGATCTAGAGTTCTATATTTTATGGTTAGTTTACTTTTATCTTACCATGATTTCTTAATGTACTGGAATTCAATTATTACAATAGAAATGTGAAACGACCCAAAAACACGACCCAAAAATTTTCGTTTTTCCATATAATCAAAGCCATAATATAAGTATCATAACATAAACACATGCGATGTATTCCCAAAACATAATAAAATATTGTGCGGAAAACTGTATCATACTACATCAACTCAAAATATCAAGAGACATCCCAGGATAAAAGTCATGTTGCGGTGTGTGCGATGCTGTCACCCCGAGCTCTTCCCTTTGCTTGCGGAAGTACCTGAAACCAAAACTGAAACTGTAAGCACGAAGCTTAGTGAGCTCCCCCAAGCTACCACATACCATACAATAACATATAAACACATATTGGGCCTTGCCCACTGCATTGGGCCGAAGCCCGGAAACTGCATCGGACCGAAGTCCGGAACTACTGCATCGGACCGAAGTCCGGAACTGACTGCATCGGACCGAGTCCGGAACTGACTGGGACCTTGTCCCCTGCATCGGACCGAAGTCCGGAACTAACTGCATCAGACCGAAGTCCGGAACTGACTGGGACCTTGTCCCTTGCATCGGACCGAAGTCCGGAACTAACTGCATCGGACCGAAGTCTGGAACTGTCTGACTGAACATGGCATGGCATAACACATCAACTAGCATAACACATATACGACATGCTACATTAGGCCGTGGCCCGGAACACATAATACTTAACACATAAAACATAGCACACAAATCCTGTTCGAACCACGAAGGCATCGAACATACTAACTGCTGCATCGGACCTACATCCGAAAACTACTGCTAACTGAACGGGCCGGCATTGTGGCCTTAGACCCGTTCCTACTGGAAGGAAACTCACCTCGTAAACTGGCGGCTGAGTGTGTGTCTCTGAAAGCTAACGGCTGCTGCTCCTGAGACTCCTCGGTTACAAGTCCATGAACACACTCAATCAAATACTAAACACTGCACTTGGGGTAAAATGACTCTTTTACCCTTGGTCAAAGTCAACTTACTTTTGGGGCTGACTCGCCGAGTTGGGCCGCCCAACTCGCCGAGTCTCACTCTCACTTCCAACTCATACTCACTGCGACTCGTCGAGTGTGGCATCAACTCGACGAGTACCCTCTTGATCCAAGAACTCAGACAATCTTCATCTGACTCGCCGAGTCGTATGAACAGACTCGACGAGTTGTTCTTGATCCTAAGGAGATTGCCTTGGACTCGCCGAGTTGTATGAACAACTCGTCGAGTCCCTCCATCACTGAGTCTACCCTCAACTCGCTGAGTCCACTCTCTAACTCACTGGGTGCACTCGGCACTGCTAAAAACGAAGGAATCGGGGACTCGCAACCCGACTCGCCGAGTCGCTCATCCCGACTCGCCGAGTCGCTGCCATGCAGCTAGTTTTTACTCGATTTCTCTTGAATCCAACACATGCAAATGATAGATCTGGGTCCAATAAGCTGTTTTACCACGTAAAGTTTCCAACTTTACGTGCACAACCTCATGAATAAGGGAAATAAGGCTAAAAGATGCACAAAATGAGTAGATCCATGGCTAATATGCAATGTAACTCCAAAAAGACAGTAGATCTGGGCTCTACAACACCCCAACATTCAGATCCAAAGGTATTTCGACTTATTAAGACATTCATGCAAACATAAGGCTTGGAACAAACATCAAATAGCTCTTAGAAGAGCTCTAATGGAAGTTTAAAGCATATAACAAGAAGGGAACTCCGAAAATACCTCAATAAACTCAGATTTGCCCTTGGATCTTTGCACTACAACTCGTTTCCTTGCTTCTTTCTTCTTCTCCTTCTTCACACCTTCACAAAATGGCACCAAATCACTTATAAGCTCTCAAGGGAGGATTAGGGTTCTCTCACTGTGTTCTCAGGGTGAAAGTGGCGAGAATGAGGCTATAATGTGGTTTAAATAGTGGGCAAACCCGGGGATTTAGGGTTTCACCCAGACGGACGGACTCGCCGAGTCCGGGATATGGACTCGCCGAGTCCCCGGCTCCCGCGTGCACAAAATACGCGACCCAACTCGGCGAGTCAGGCTAGAACTCGCCGAGTCCCTCTTGAAAACTTAGACAATTAACAATTAATTAACATACCGGGAACGGGTCGTTACAATTCTCCCCCACTTGTCTCAGACTTCGTCCTCGAAGTCTGCTACGGCTGGATCTGCGAATAACTCCGGGTAGTGCGTTCTCATCTCTTCCTCAGCCTCCCACGTCCATTCAGATCCCTTCCGGTGCTGCCACTGCACCTTCACTAGCTGAATGACCTTGTTCCTCAAGGTCTTGATCTTCCGATCCAGAATCGCGACCGGCCTCTCAATATAATTCAGGCTGCTATCAACCTGAATATCCTCTAGGGGAACGACTGCTGACTCATCCACCAAACACTTTCTCAACTGCGACACGTGGAAAGTGTTGTGGATCTGACTAAGCTCCTCAGGAAGATCTAACCGATAAGCAACCCGACCCACCCGGGCCATAACCCTGAAAGGACCAATAAATCTGGGGCCCAGCTTGCCCCTCTTCCGGAACCTGATGACACCTTTCCAAGGTGAGACTTTCAGAAGAACCATATCTCCCACCTGGAACTCCAAGTCCGAACGCCTCCTGTCAGCGTAGCTCTTCTGCCGACTCTGCGCAGTCTGCAGCCTACTACGGACCTGCTGGATCAACTCAGTCGTCTTGAGCACCACTTCGGTGCTCCCGATGACTCGCTGACCGACCTCGCCCCAACAAATCGGGGTCCTACACTTCCTGCCATAACATCTCAAAAGGAGGTCGATCAATACTCGCATGATAACTGTTGTTATACGAGAATTCCGCTAACGGAAGATACGTATCCCAACTGCCCCCAAAATCTAGAACACATGCCCTAAGCATGTCCTCAGAGTCTGAATCGTCCTCTCGCTCTGCCCGTCAGTCTGAGGATGGAAAGCGGTGCTAAATGAGACGAGTACCCATCTCGTCGTGGAACCGCTTCCAGAATCTGGAGTGAAACGAACATCTCGGTCTGACACCACCGATACCGGCACTCCATGACGTGCCACATCTCTCGCACATAGATATCGGCTAACTTTTCCGCCGATATACTCTCCTGGATCGGATAAAATGGGCACTCTTCGTCAACCGATCCACACTACCCATATCGAATCCACTCCACGTGCGGTCCTGGGAAGTTTGGTGATAAAATCCATGGTGATATCCTCCCATTTCCACACGGGAATGTCCAACGGCTGCATCTTGCCGTGAGGTCTCTGGTGCTCCGCCTTGACCTTCCGGCAGGTCAAGCATCTCTCAACGTACCAAGCGACGTCCCGCTTCATGCAGGGCCACCAATAATCAGGTCGAAGATCTCGATACATCTTCGTCGCCCCTGGGTGGATAGAAAATCGAGACTTATGAGCCTCGTCCATCAATACCTGCCGTACTCCACCCCAGTACGGTACCCACACCCTACCATGAAGCGTCAACAAACCCCGACTATCGTAATCAAACGATGCTACTCGACCCACTATCCTCTCACATTTCTGCCTCTCCTCCTTGAGGCCCTCCACCTGAGCCTCCTTGATCCGCTCCAACAGCGGAGTGATCACTGTCATCCTCATGCACAGATCCCTGATAGGGGCCGCCGACACTTTGCGGCTTAGGGCGTCGGCCACCACGTTGGCCTTCCCTGGATGATAAAGGATCTCACAATCATAATCCTTTAGTACGTCCAACCACCTCCTCTGCCTCATGTTCAGACTCGGCTGATCCATAAGATACCGCAAACTCTTGTGATCCGTGTATATAGTACAACGGACCCCATACAGGTAATGTCTCCAAATCTTGAGGGCAAACACAACTGCCCCCAGCTCCAAATCGTGGGTAGGATAATTAGCCTCGTGAGGCTTCAACTGTCTCGAGGCATAAGCTACCACATGGCCTCGCTGCATCAATACTGCTCCCATACCTGTGATCGAAGCATCACAGTAGACTACGAAGTCCTCTACTCCTTCCGGCAAGGTAAGGATCGGTGCCTCGCACAATTTCTGTCTGAGAGTCTCGAACGCCGCCTGCTGCTCAGGCCCCCAACGGAATACCACCGACTTCTTGGTTAGTCGGGTGAGTGGCACTGCTATCTTGGAGAAGTCCTGAATAAATCTCCGATAATACCCTGCCAACCCTAGGAAGCTCCGAATCTCAGATGGAGACCTCGGGACCTCCCACTGCATCACGGCCTCAATCTTGGCCGGATCTACCAAAATACCCTTCTGGTTGACGAGATGGCCAAGAAACTGCACCTCGCGCAACCAGAACTCACACTTGGAGAACTTTGCGAAAAGTCTCTCCCTCCTCAAAGTCTCCAACACCTCCCGCAGGTGCTCCTCGTGCTGCCCCTGAGTCTTGGAATATACCAAGATGTCATCTATGAATACTATCACCGACCGATCCAACATCGGTCTGCACACGCGGTTCATGAGATCCATGAACGCGGCTGGGGCATTGGTGAGCCCAAATGGCATCACCACGAACTCATAATGACCATACCGGGTCCTGAAAGCAGTCTTCTGTACATCCTCATCTCTAACCCTCATCTGATGATATCCAGAGCGTAGATCGATCTTGGAGAACCAAGACGCTCCCTGAAGCTGATCAAACAAATCATCTATCCTCGGAAGTGGGTAACGGTTCTTCACCGTTACTTTGTTCAACTCCCGATAGTCAATGCACATCCGATGCGACCCATCCTTCTTCCTCACAAATAAGATCGGCGCTCCCCAAGGCGAACTGCTCGGCCGAATGAAACCCTTGTCTAACAGCTCCTGAAGCTGTGTAGACAACTCCTGCATCTCAGGGGGAGCTAGCCGATATGGTGCTTTGGCTATCGGAGCCGCACCAGGAACTAGATCGATCCTGAACTCAACCTGTCTCTCTGGAGG